CCCACTGCCGCACATCCTCGCTACGCTCGACAAGCTCCGTGGGGCCCAGTATCTATCTACATTGGACTTGAAAGACGGATATTGGCAGGTGCCACTAGACTCGGCCAGCCGCCCCGCCACCGCCTTTACGATTCCCGGGCGAGGACTCTATCAATTTAGAGTCATGCCCTTTGGGTTGCACTCAGCACCGGCCACGTTCCAGCGGTTGCTGGACAGCGTCCTCGGCCCAGAATTGGAGCCCAATGTATTGGTCTATCTCGACGACATCATCGTGGTCAGTCCTTCATTAGAGGCTCATATGGAACACCTGGCCGAAGTCTTCAGACGGCTACGACAAGCGCGCCTCCGCCTCAACCCACAGAAGTGCCACTTCTGTTGCAGTCGCCTCAAATACTTGGGGCATATAGTGGACAAAGACGGCATTCGAACTGACCCAGATAAGGTCAGTGCAGTGGCCGCCTGGACAGCACCTACCACTGTCCGTCAAGTGCGCCAATTCCTTGGAGTCGCCTCCTGGTACCGTCGCTTTGTACCAGACTTTTCCGCCACCGCCGCACCATTGACACGCCTGACCCATAAAAGGGCACGCTTTACTTGGGGACCGGAGGAAGAGAAGGCGTTCGACGAGCTGAAACGGGCACTCACCACCGCGCCGGTTCTGGCCTGTCCCGACTTCAGCCGACCGTTTACCCTCCAGACCGACGCCAGCGCTTGTGGGCTCGGGGCTGTACTCACCCAAGAACTGCCCGAAGGCGAACGCGTCATTGCCTACGCCAGTCGCACCCTAAATAACGCCGAAAGAAACTACAGCGCTACAGAATTGGAGTGCCTGGCGGTGGTTTGGGGAATTCGCCGAATGCGCGACTATCTAGAGGGCTATCACTTCACGGTCGTCACCGATCACCAGTCGCTCCGATGGTTGCAACGTTTGGAGGCTCCCACCGGCCGCCTAGGGAGATGGGTGTTCGAGCTCCAGCAGTACGATTACGAGATTCAATATAGAAAAGGAAAACTGAACATCGTAGCCGACGCTCTCTCCCGTCAACCCGAGGCCTGTGTCCTCCAGACCGCCCCAGATTGTCGATGGTACCGTCGCATGTATCGCGAGGTGCAACAACACCCGGCCGACCATGCGGACTACCGGATACAGAACCGCCGGCTATTTCGGCACCTGCTGCACGATCTCAACTTTCACGACTCGCCCAGTGAGGAGCAATGGAAGCAATGCGTCCCGAGGCCCCAACGCGCGGAAATACTACGCCGGCTACATGACGACCCGACCGCCGGACACTTCGGAATCACAAAGACCATCGCACGGGTGGCCCGCTTATATTATTGGCCAGGAATGTTCCGCGACGTCACTCGATACGTCCGTGACTGCCGGAACTGCGCCACCCATAAAGCCGCACAAACCCTGCCAGCCGGGAAACTTCGGGCCACCAATGTCACGCATCCGTGGCAACAAGTCTCGATTGACCTGGTCGGACCATTGCCACGGTCGACCAGTGGGCATACCTGGCTGCTAACCATGCAGGATCGGTTCTCAAAGTGGGTGGAGATGACACCCCTCCGCCAGGCCACCGCCGCCAACGTCACACGAGAAGTCGCCGGGCGCATAATATATCGCCATGGTTGCCCGGACACCATCATCTCTGATAACGGGACTCAGTTGCGATCGCACCAGCTCGAAGGGTTGTTAAGATCCTTCGGGATCAAACACCAGACCGCTCCCGCCTACGCCCCACAGTGCAACCCGGTCGAGAGAGCCAACCGCACCATAAAAACTATGGTGGCGCAATACGTGGAGGGCCGGCACCGCCGCTGGGATGAGCACATCCCCCAGCTCCAGTTTGCTTTCAATACCGCGCGGCAAGAATCCACGGGATATACCCCGGCCTTCCTGATATACGGCCGGGAGCTACAGTCGCCGTACCCTGACGACCGACGTCCGGTAACCGCCAACGCCGCCCCCGGAGCAGTCCGACGCCGCCTCGAAGACGCCTACGAAATCGTCAGGATCAACCTGGCTCGCGCGTTCCAACACCAGCAGCGAAATTACGACTTGCGCAGGCGTGACTGGCGTCCAAAAATTGGGGACCGGGTGTGGAAGAAGGAACACCCGCTATCGAACAAAGAGCGGGGCTTTAATGCCAAGCTGGCACCAAGATTTGGTGGCCCGATGACGGTTGGCCGCATCATCTCCCCCGTCATCATGGACCTGAAGGACGACCGAGGTCGGTGGCACCGACATGTCCACGTCCGAGATTTGAAGCCAGCCTCAGAACCGCCGCCCGCGGACGAACCGTAGGAGGGCACTCCTCATGGCCCGCGCTCTTCCGCTACCCGTTCGCGATTTCCCGACCGAGCACCGAGAGCGGCACTCTTCATGGTCCGCGCTTTCTTTTCGCGTGGCTGTCCGGCCGAACACCGAGAGCGGCACTCGTCAGGGTCCGCGCTTTTTCGCTACACGTTCGCGAGCTCCCGACCGAGCACCGAGAGCGGCACTCGTCAGGGTCCGCGCTTTTTCGCTACACGTTCGTGATTTCCCGACCGAGCCCCGAGAGCGGCACTCTTCATGGTCCGCGCTTTTTTTTCGTGTGGCTGTCCGGCCGAACACCGAGAGCGGCACTCTCCACGGTCCGCGCTATACTCCGGAGAGGTATAAAAGACGGGCGCTCTCAGCCCCGAGTCTATCCTCGCCACGATGGGAAGCCCAAAAGCTGACCAGTCTCAAGGAGACCAACCGTCCGTTTCCGGACGAAACAATCCGTCCGTTTCCGGACGAAACAACCCGTCCGTCTCCGGACGAACCAACCGGCCGGTGCCTCGGGTGGGGACCTACATCCAACGGTCCGACGTGGAACAACGGAGCCGGAAAATGGCGTTTCTCGCAGCACCTCCGCCACCCCCGAGCCACCGTCGACGACCACGGGTCCTCTCGGACTCGCCAGCCTCCGCCGTCATCACCGTCGCCGCCGCCACCAAGCCTACAACGACACCGACCGACGCACGTCGCCCAGCCCGACCACCATCACGACCGACACATCAATCAGACGCCGTGTGCCGATCGACCACGCGTCCACCGGCACCCTCCACCGCCGTGCCGCCGACCATCGCGCAACGACCGGCGCCCCCTACAGCGGTGGGCCAACCGCACCCCGTGCAGGTTACCCTGGGGAACGGACGAACGGTCGACGTTCCGTTTTACGCCGCCACCATCTCGCGGCGATATAAAGTGCGCACCCCGGACGGCCGCTGGATCATCCGATTCAATCGGCGTGGTCAGCCACGGATGATCCGCCGACTACCTCACCCCCCGTAAAAAGGGAGGGTGATGTGACGACCCGTTTTGTCGTCACTAGAAGCCGCGCAAGCACGAGGCCGACCGTCCGCCCGCGCTCATATAAACGGCCCCTGTCGGGGCCACCACACATCGAACACGTGGGAATTTGCCTTTTCGCCCCACCCGACCGGACCGCCCCACTCCAAGTTAGTTGGAGGGGGCTGACCGACGGGTATATAAAGCGGCGCAGCCGAGACTTCGACACCAGTCCCGTCCTGGTCTCTTGAGCGTACTCAAGGACCACTCCTCACCTCCTAACATCACCCCGGCCGACGAGCGTTCTCGTCGGGTAGGCCGAGCGTCCTCGGTCACCGGATCCTCTCCGAACAGCACCCCGGTCGACGAGCGTTCTCGTCGGGCAGGCCGAGCATTCTCGGTCTCCGGATCCTCTCCGAACATCACCCCGGTCGACGAGCGTTCTCGTCGGGCAGGCCGAGCGTCCTCGGTCACCGGATCCTCTCCGAACATCACCCCGGCCGACGAGCGTTCTCGTCGGGTAGGCCGAGCGTCCTCGGTCACCGGATCCTCTCCGAACAGCACCCCGGTCGACGAGCGTTCTCGTCGGGCAGGCCGAGCATTCTCGGTCTCCGGATCCTCTCCGAACATCACCCCGGTCCGACGAGCGTTCTCGTCGGGCAGGCCGAGCGTCCTCGGTCACCGGATCCTCTCCGAACAGCACCCCGGTCGACGAGCGTTCTCGTCGGGCAGGCCGAGCGTCCTCGGTCACCGGATCCTCTCCGAACAACACCCCGGTCGACGAGCGTTCTCGTCGGGCAGGCCGAGCATTCTCGGTCTCCGGATCCTCTCCGAACATCACCCCGGTCGACGAGCGTTCTCGTCGGGTAGGCCGAGCGTCCTCGGTCACCGGATCCTCTCCGAACAGCACCCCGGTCGACGAGCGTTCTCGTCGGGCAGGCCGAGCATTCTCGGTCTCCGGATCCTCTCCGAACATCGCCCCGGTCGACGAGCGTTCTCGTCGGGCAGGCCGAGCGTCCTCGGGCACCGGATCCACTCCAAACATCACCCCGGCCGACGAGCGTTCTCGTCGGGAAGGCCGAGTTTCCTCGGTCACCGGATCCTCCGAGAGCCACCGACATCTTGCGGAGCTCGCCCTTCTCAGGGCGCCCGAATCCAAGGCGGTTTACGGAGCTCGCCCTTTTTAGGGCGCTCGTATCCACGCCGCGTTGGGTAAATTTCGTCCGCCACGCTACTATCTTAGTTATAAGTCGTGCCCGCGTCCGTATGATTTGGTCGCGTTTCGTCCGTCGCGTTATCATTTGTAAACCTTAGTTATAAGACGTGTCCGCGTCCGTATGATTTGGTCGCGTTTCGTCCGTCGCGTTATCATTTGTAAACCTTAGTTATAAGGCGTGTCCATGTCCGTATGACTTGGTCACGCTTCGTCCGTTGCATTCCTTGTATTCCTTAGTTATAAATCGTGTCCGCGTCCGTATAAGTTGGTCGCGGTCCGCACTTCCTGCGATTCTCCTCTGTACGCGTAGACTAGATAATAAGCCAACTCTTGCAGGGCGGCTTCAATAAACTCTGTTTTTACCAGAACGATTGGCGTGGTTATTGCGAACCTGAGTCTCCCCCCTCTTCCCGAATCCTGGCACCGACGAGCCGATCCGTGGCGTCGGGAAAGGAGCCCCGTTACAAGTTTTAAGCCCGTTTTTGCACGAAAGTCACCGGTCGTCTCGTCCGCGTTTATCACGGCACTCGCGGTTATCGCGGCACTCGCGGTACTCGCGCAAGCTAAATTCAGTCGCGTATCCCCGGAAGCTCTTATATTAGAAAGACTTAGCTGGTTAGTTTGCTGCGAGGAGATCCTCAATTCGAGCTGGTGCAGCTGTTCGTCCTTCTCTCGGAGAAGAGCCTCAAAGCGAGCTTGCTGATGTTCTCGTTCGGCCCGCATTTCTCGTAGTTCTCGCAGTGCGGTCTGCAACGCATCCGTCTCGTCGATCTCCTTCATCGTTGTTCGGGAACGCGTCGCTTTCGGCGAGTGTTGAGTCGTCATTTTGGCGTTCACTCAAGAAGATGCGATTCTTTCGGTTTTATCCCGGACGAGCCCCCAAAATGTTGCGTCCTCGGGACGCCTCTCGCTTAGTCACTCACACACAGTCACTCTCACTCGCGCGCGAAATAAAACACTCGCGTAATAGGGAAATGAACTTTAATATGAGGATCCAATACACGAAACCAATGAAATATAACAAATAGTGCATTCGTAATGCAAAGAAGCTCCGGTCTCGGAAAACGTCCGCACGATGCGACCGCTAGACCAAATCTGTCATGTCTCCCGAAAACAGAAGAAGACCCTTAGTTGTTTAACAACAACTCCCTTGACGACGATTTCCCGAAAGCGTAAAGAGTTGATCCCGCGAAAAGTATCACCCGATACAAAGATGTAGATCCAGGGGCGTAACACGGGGGCGCAACAATATATATATATATATATATATATATATATATATATTGTATTGTAAGCATTTTTATATATTTTAACTTTATTGCCGTATGTATAAGGGAAAGGAAAGCGAGAGAGATGTTAATCTATTTTATTTATATTTTCGTTTACTTGTCCTTAGACGGTTTAGTTTTATTATGCGTTATATTTTTATTTATTTGTGCGACCGTCAACCTAATCTCTCTCGTTCGTAAGAATTATTGTTTTCGCGAGCACCGAACGATTTTGTGTAGAATTACTCCGATTGGTCCGGTACTTTGGGGTGGGAATATTTTAGACAAGCGAGTATAAAAATGAGGATATTTGAGCGCGCGACACAGTTTGACACAGTCTGACAATCTGAGAAAGTACTTATTCTGGCGGCGTTACCAGCGGCTCCGGCGTCTGTATCGACTCTACAGTATATATATATATATATATACACATCGGATCGCAAATAAATACATTTTACTGGAACATAATATACATATATATATCCTCACACACACATCCTGACTAAATTATAATAAATTGAACGAGATCCATCCATCTGGCATAAATCTGAGGACCGCGAATCCAGTCAGCGACGAGGTAAAAAGGTTAGTGCTAATGCTTATCGCGCGCTAACAGCGTCAGAAGTGGGATTCGGAGCTCGCCCTGACATTGCGAGAATCCGGAAATCTTGACGAGGCGCGTTTCGGGAAGCGTGACGCGAGTGTTAGGTTTTCGCGAGCGCGTCGACGGGCAATTAACTATTCGATTCCGGAAAGACAGTCGCGATGGAAATCGGGAGTGAGATGACGGTGACCGAATTGAAGACCGCTCTTCGTCAACGCGGACTGACCACGGACGGGTTAAAGGTCGAACTGATAAAACGGTTGAACGAATACGATCCGAATGTGTGGGGAGAGTTGGCGGAGACGCTGGGGGCCGCGCAGGGTGAGGACGGGGATCCGGGTTGTTCGCGTCGGTCGGATGGGGACGACGAGACACCGGCGGAGGACGAGGAGACTCGGGCACCGACGGCGAGCGTGGAGGTTCGAGCGTCGGCGACGAGGATGGAGACTAGGGCGCCTGCGGCGAGCGTGAGGTCTCGGGCATCGGTGGCGAGCGAAGAGGCTCGTGCACCGAGAGACAGGAGCTTCGCGGAGCAGGGCCTGGAGGACCATAGCCTGATGAGACGAGAGCTGGAGATACTCCGCCGAGAGAGAGTGCTGGCGGAGAGAGCAACAGTTGCTGCAGCGAGAGCTGGAGATTGTGAGAGGCTCTCCTACGGCGAGAAGCGCGGCATCGGAGGGCAGCGCGGTATCAGCGACGAGCGGCGTGCGAGAAATTCGAGAGCTGCTTCCCGGGTTTGACAGGGACAATACTTTTTGGAGGTGGAAGCAACAACTGCAGTTATTAAAGACCACCTACAATCTGAACGAAAATGCTACTCGCATTTTAATTAGTTCACGGTTGAAAGGACGCGCGCTGTCGTGGTTCTACTCGAGGGCAGAATACTTGGTGTTGAGCGTCGAAGATCTGCTCAAGGAGATGGATCAGATGTTTGATCTGCGTCCGGGCAGGCTTACCATGAGAAGGGAGTTTGAGTCCCGGACTTGGAAATCAGGCGAATCATTTTGCGACTACTATCATGACAAAATGATCCTGGCGAATCGAGTGCCGATAGCTCAGGACGAAATCCTGGACTATGTGATCGAGGGAGTGTCGGACCAGAGGTTGCGGAACCAGGCACGGATGCTGAATCTGGAGAGGGGAGCCGATTTACTGAAGGCATTCGAAAAGATTCGAATCGATGGGGAGAGAACGAACGACAAAACCAGGAGGGACGGACAGAGGACTACCAACAGCAAAAGGACAGAGGCGACGACGGCTGAGGGAGTGCGAAGGTGTCATCGTTGTCGCGAGACGGGGTACATTGCAGCGTATTGTAGGCGGACGTTACCGACTAGGAAAACGTGTTTCGTTTGCGGATCGGAGGGTCATTTCGCGCGGGAGTGTCCGAGACGTAATCAAGCCTCAACGTCGGGGGCATCGAAGGACGTGGCGCGGACCACCACGACAAATATGTTGCATCCGGTCGATCTTCCTAAGCCGTACATGATCCGTGTAAAGATTTTGCCCGGTGACGCGAAAGAGAAATGTACATATGTGGTGGACGCAATGATAGACTCCGGTTCGCCTATTAGTCTGGTGCGCGACGACGTAGTTCCGTGCGAGGCGAGATGCGACACGGCAAACGAACAGCCGTTCTGCGGGATTAATGGGTCGCGGCTGGAGATCGATGGTGCTTTCTTCGGTCAGTTGGAGGTCGGCGGGGTACGGGTCGGGATGAAGTTCTATGTGGTTCCTCGAAAGACAATGGCTTTCGATGTCTTGCTGGAGAGGGATTTTTTAAACTGTCCGCGACTTCACGTTACGATTGGCGATACGTTTGAGATCGCGGGGACCGAAGAGAAGAGCGCTATAAACTCTTTAATGCGCGTCGATTGCGGCGGCGATTCCATTGATCCGTGCGACGAATTGAAAATAAATCCGGCGGTCGGCGGCGAGGTGGCCGCGCGGATTTGCGGGGCGTACAAGGCGCATTATATTAACAAGATGCGAATTGAGGAAAATGCGCCCGATTATAAAATGATAATTGCTCTAAAAAACAAACAACCAATAAGTTCGCGGCCGCGACGATTGTCCTTCGCGGATAAGGAACTTCTACGCGAAATTTTGGACGATTTATTAGAAAGATCTATTATACAACCGAGTAGTTCTCCGTATGCGAGTCCTATAGTCTTGGTGCGGAAAAAGGACGGAGGGTGCCGTTTGTGCGTGGATTATCGAGAATTGAATAAAATCACGATACGCGACAATTTTCCGACGGAACTGATAGACGATAACATCGATCGTCTACAGGGAAAGGTGTATTTTTCCATCTTGGACATGAAGGACGGATTCCATCATGTCAGGATGCATGAATCGTCCGTGAAGTACACGTCATTCGTTACGCCTCTCGGGCAGTTCGAGTATCTGCGCATGCCATTCGGGTTGGCGAACGCTCCACGGGTTTTTCAGCGATTCGTGCATATGATGTTCGAGGCATTGATCCGCGAAAATAAGATTCTAATTTATTTAGATGATTTGCTGATCGCTACGAAAGATCTAGACGAGCACATCGAAATCTTATCGAGAGTGTTCGAGGTAGCAGGTGAGAATCGATTAGGATTTCGACTCGATAAGTGTCACTTCGCCCGGACGGAAATAAAATACCTGGGTTACTGCGTGAGTAGACACGGTATCCGGCCGAGCGACGAGAATGTTGCGTCCGTCGTTGACTATCCGGTGCCGCGTAGCGCGAAGAACATGCAGCATTTTCTGGGGCTGGCGAGTTATTTTCGCCGATTTATTCCTGGGTTTTCCCTATTGGCGAAACCACTATACGACTTGATAAGAAAGAACGCGACATTTAAATATGAGTCCTCTGAAAGTGCGGCTTTCGAGACACTGAAACGCCATTTGTCGAATGGACCGGTACTCGCGATTTATTCACCGCAGGCGGAGACTGAGCTGCATTGTGACGCGAGTGCTAGCGGGTTCGGCGGTATATTGCTTCAAAAGCAAAGCGATGGTTCGTGGCGTCCGATCTCGTTTTGGAGCCAACGGACTACGCCGACGGAATCTAAATATCACAGTTTCGAGCTCGAGTGTCTCGCCGCTGTTTACGCCTTAAAACGTTTTCATATATATCTCGCGGGGCGAAAGTTTCGAATAATCACGGATTGCGACAGTTTTCGGCTGACATTAAATAAAAAGGATATCAATCCGCGAATTTCACGATGGGCGCTATTTTTACAAAATTACGATTACGAAATCGTCCATCGCCCGGGAAAACGAATGGGACACGTCGATGCACTCAGTCGATGCCATAGCATTCTTGTACTTAAGGGTAGCACGTTCGAAAGAACTCTATCCGTGTGTCAGGATCGCGACGAAGAAATTCGCGAAATACAAAAGAGACTCGAAAGAGGCGACGTGAAATATTACGAATTAAGAGATGGACTGGTGTATCGTAAAGACCGTAACAAAAAATTGCTTTTTTATGTGCCGCGGAGTATGGAGTCTAATGTGATTAGGACGTGCCACGATGATCTCGGTCATGTGGGGATCGACAAGGTCATTGGAAACATCGCGCAGATTTATTGGTTTCCGCGAATGCGCGAGAAGGTACGGGAATATATTGACAATTGTCTGCGTTGTATAGAATTTTCTCCGCCCGGCGGGAAAGCAGAGGGATTTTTACATAATTTGACAAAGGAGAAGATACCGTTTGATACCATACATGTTGATCATATGGGACCTTTAGAAAAAACCGGGAGGGGCTATCGTCATTTGTTCGTCGTGATAGACGCCTTTACGAAGTTTATTAAACTTTACCCCTGCCGAACCACCGGAACGGAGGAAGTATTAAAACATCTTAGCGAATATTTTCGCGTATATAGTCGACCGAAGCGAGTGATATCGGACCGTGGGACATGTTTTACGTCCGAGGTGTTTAAGGAATTTGTAGAGCGTGAATC